TTCTCTTCTAGAAGGAATATTAAGCCTATATCTTATTGGATTTCTCATGGCTGTGCCTAGTTACATACTTCATTTTACTGTTATTTCTATGTAACAGCACCAGGTCTTGTAGAAGTTCTCTGTTACTGTGACAAGTTTTGATGAAAGAGGAGGTCCTCATTCTTTTTTGTCCCTTTTTCTGTAATAGTAATTCTATATTGTTCCTTTCATCCAGAGTTGATCTGGTGATCTGAATGGAACCTGGTGGTTTGCTTCAAGATTTTTATCCCATCTTGTCTTTGACAAAACATGAGATAATCTTTCTTCACGATCATACTTAACCATACTTATTTCCTTTCTCAAAGTCAGGTTCCCAAGAGTTCAGATGAGTTACCTCTTAGCCTTTTTGTTTCTCTATGTATTTTTCCCTATGCCCTGTCTCTTCTTCCACTCAGAAGCAAAACCAATGCAAAGAGACTGTCATGAAATAAACATATATTTTATTTATTCTTTACAGAAATGAAAAGATAGGAAGAAAATATAGATCACTGAAGTCATCAAAGTAGCCTTTTTACAGTCTGAATTGTAAGCAAATTATTAATCCTTGATTATTTCTTTATCCAAAGTATATTTCTTGAAATGTGTTTTGTATTTATACAGTCATCTTCTATATAAGAATCTTTTAGCAAAGTTACAGACTAAAGGAGATCACAGCAGATGTGAAGAAAACTCTCTAGCAAAGCAGCAGTCTGTTAAGAAAGGCTTTTTTCTGAGAGTGTTGGAAGTCTAGTAAGGCAGTCTTGTAGGTTGTTCAGAAAAGTGCGGCCTTGCAGTTTTCTCTGTTTCTCATTTTAACTGCAGAAGGTCTTAAACTGTTTAATACAATTTTTTTTAAAGATAACACCTTTTCCTAAAGTGCATTAAAATATTGACTTAAGCAAATTAGTTTTATCACAGTAATTTCAGTGATTAAAAGCACCAATATTAATATATGCAGGATTGAAACTCAGTATTAGGTTAGTCTTAATAGTTATTTATTACAGGTAATTTTATTACCAAGGTTTCCTTTGTTTGGCAAGCTCTGTAGTGAGAAACTAGAAAATGGTAAGCTGTGAATACAGTCTCACCTTCACATTTAAATGGTGTTTTTTCTATGCTTTCATATCTGTAACCCTGTTTCAAATATTTCATTTTCTGCCTTTTCTTTCTAATCCTAAATATATAAATGTACTAGTAAGTACTGAGAGTTAATTGTCTCAGTACAATTTTATTATTTATTACCCATGGTGTAAGTATTGAAATTTCTTTAGTGTAAATATGTGTATAAGGGTGTCATACTAATCAAAAGAGGACTCGGAGACCTTTTGAAACACCATGCAGATGGACTGTATGTAATCTATATTGCCATGGTACAAGTATATCTTCACTATGTTAATCAAAAAATATCAAGAATGGAAGTGCAGTGATTTGACCATATTTCTGCACACCTTTTAGTGTGTTGTGCTCCCGCAGAGAAGTCTCCCCCTGTACAGTTGGTGTTTGAGCACAAAAAAGTAGCAGTATTTTCTTGGGCTTTCAGAAGATGCTGCAACTCAAGTATGACTGAAACAGATTTTTTTTTTTCTAAAATTAGGCTCCTTTTTTAAATACTTAAAATATGTTTTCTCAAACACATGTTCTAGAAGGGTAAAGTTGGAACAAACACACTGTAATCTGTAACTCATTGTCTCATAAGTAGTAGGAAAGGTAATAATATTTAAGAAAATAGAGAAGTTTAATTTCATCATGGCTTAGATTATACTATTCAAGAAACACCTTTAAAAACACTCTATGAGTTTTAGAAGTGGTGTATGGTAGAAATTCTATTTTTTTTTTTTTCTATAACATTGTCAGTAGCCAACCTGCAATTTCAGGAAATCCTCAATTACTGTATGGAAGTAGCAGACTCAAAAATTGAAATTTGTAATGTAAATTCATCTTACAATTTCTAACCTATTTATACATCTTATTTTCAGAAACCTAACTACTAAATATGAGTGCTTGCCTAATACTAAAGATTTGCCAATTTAAAAGCAAAACCCCAAAACATTCTATGCTGCATAATAAGTCAGAATACCGAGTCCTATCCAACTCTTTCAGAAGCAATTTTGCTGAAAAGTTTTTGCAAAGCAATTGAGACTGTATAATATTTATCAGCCAGTGAAAATTCAATACAAACTCCAAATGCCTGTTTCTGGTGGGGATGTTTTAATGTTCGAAAAATCACTTTGTGTTATTTTGATATGAGAGAAATAAATAGGTGTATCTCCAGAATTATATGGAAGCATGAAAAGAGATTAATTCTTACAAAACACTGTCAATGATTTTTTATATATATATGTATGTGTATACATATATATATAGATATAGATATAGATATAGATATATATAAAACTGAAAGTAGTTTTTTCAGTAAACAGTGTAAGAGAGATCAAGCCTCAAATACAAACCTGATATATGAAGGAAAAAAGCACCCAAAACACAAGACAAAAAAGAATTCTTTTCAGTATTTTGCAATTTTTTTTTTTAATAAAAGGTGTTTTTCATAGTTGATTCTTGTTCATTAATACAGTCTGCTTTTAAATTTATTAATCTCTTTTTTTCCATATTTTAAACAGGCTTTTGCTAAAATAAATAATGAAATGCTTCTACTTAGTAGATGTCATAGTCCAACAGTCACCTGAAATTAATTTCATCACTCCTTTTTTCGTCATGGCCATATATTTCTGTGCTCTATGCTTTAGATTGATATGAATTGAAATCTGAGATGTTTCCAGTTTCTTAAATCATCTGTGGTATCAGTGATTATCATTATCCAGTGTTGAAGTGTTCTACATATTTCCCTATAAATCCACTAGTTAAGTTTGATAACAACTGTGAAGAACAAACTATTTTTCCTTTTAATAAGCAGCCTAGCACACCAAAACATACAGTACCATATGTGCTAGTTAGCAGTGGTGTTGATAACACAAACTATCAGTTTTCTGAAATACTCTAGTCAAAATATATTAGCATTTCTTTTTCTTTTGGGGATTTTCAGGATGGAAGTTTAATACTTAGCTATAATAAAGAAAACCTATCGGGACAATAAACAATTCTCCATTCTTTTTCGTTAGATTTTTTTTTTGTTTGGTTTTTTTGTTGGGGTTTTTTTTTGTATTTTTTTTCCTGTTTAGTCTTAAGTGATAAAAATCAGTTAATTGTAATTTCAGACTTTGGTAAGAGAAATACTGCATCATAACACTAAAATCAGGACTATAATTCTATATCTGAACAAGCTTAGCTTGCGTACTACTGTGGAATCAGACACATCTTTTGCTAAATAATTCTAGGCCCTCACAAATGGTCCTCTCATGATGGTCCCATGTTTGGTACATAAAGACGTGGGTAAATCCTTTATAATTGCCTTGATTTTTACAATGTGGGGTGCCTGCTGACCAATAGCAGTTTGCCAAACTGCATATTTTTTATAAGATCCTATACATTATCATGTTTTCTACATAACCATCAAGAAAAGAGTCCCAGTTGATGCTTAAACTGTTTTTGTTTTTATTGTTTTACAAGCTGGAAACACAAAATAGGGATCTGTTTCTTAAGGTTTTATTTTTCCTGTTTTGACTGCCTGTTTATGTACAAACTATGATAAAGGGATCGTCATGCTGTTTAACATACATCTAAAATATTTGTGTGTGCATATGTACAAGCCCATATTTTGCTAATACACAACTTTATGCATTCACAGTGTCCCAGCTTTCTCATATGCATTAAGAGTTTTAGTGCAAAAGTATGTATACCTATTTTATGAGGGACTGTCAATGATTGTAAGTAACAGAACTGCTGAAAGTGTGAAATTTTGCTTTATTTATTTCTAAATAGTTTTCGTTAGTAACTATATGAGCATTTGATAAATTCCATTGTATAGCACTTTAACACTTATTCTTGACATAAAAATAGTGTAATTTTTGATATATTATAATATTTATATATTGCAAAGATGTCACAAACATGCTTTGAATAAGTATTGTATGTTATGTTTTGAAAATTGGAATTTTACTTTTTTACTACATTTATAAAAAAAAGAAGAGTTTTTCTGTCACAATCTAATACTTTTAAAGGAGAAATGTGTATATAAAATTTTTAAACAGAGCAGTGCTTTTTTAATATGTTCAAGAATTAATGTTAAGCGTATGTATATTATTTAGAAAATATTATCAATAAATATGACTCTTAATTCTTTTTTGTGTTTATTTTGAACACAGAACTATAATAAGCTATTGACCTTTGCTCAACTAAAGGAACGTTTTTAACAATAATCATAAATATTTTGTAGTTATTTGATATTAAGGTATTAGTTGCATGTTCATCCATCATGAGATTGATGCTTACATTTTTTCACCTGCTTCTTGATTAAAAAAGATCAATGAATATTTTAGCAGTTAGAATATTGCCAGAAACTCAGTAGCTTCAGCGTAACTGTCGTAAGGTATGGAAGACTGTTTGCTGGCTACAAGTCCTTACTGTGGAATGGTGCTTTATAAAGTGCCAGAGTAGATGTCTCTTTACTTATTTCAGACACTGGCCCTGTTTGTTCATAGGCTGATAACTGTTTCTAGTGTGCTCATTGAACTTGCTGGAATTTTTGTTTACTTATAGTCTTCATTTTCCCCAAGAAGAGGAGAGGGGAAAGAATATATTCCTCATGTGGTCAACATATTTTTGAGTATTTATGTGAGTTCACCATCTTGATTTCAAGTCATGAATTTGTTTTTACATGCATAAGCATGCATATTTACATGCATTATTTATCCAATTGACTTTAAATTCCATTAAGTTCCAATGAGTAGGAGAAAGATTTTTGTCTTAGGCATTTTTAATTTATTTTAATTTTCTAGTTATGTTATTTTGTTGGTTTATTTATTTTTTTAACTGTTCAGTCTAAGGCTTGTAAAGGTTGATTTGCTCCTGAACTGCTTTGTTCCCAGACATTGCCATCTTCCCCAACTACCACCAAGTCCTCTCCATCTGATCCCATGACCACCTCCAGAGCCAATCAGGTACAGTATCATCCTACCATCTACACCATACTTTTCACGGGTGACAGCTTGCAAACTGGAGAAAAAGATATGGTGGGTTAAGGATTTATTCGTTCATTCACATATATACACCCATAACCATAGATATCTAACTCTTGTTAGAAATTGGTAAAGTAAATGCTTCTTTTAATTTATTTTGGTGGGCTTTGTTAAAATCTCTGATGAAAGCAAAGTATCTTTTAAAATAGTTGGCTTGCTTTTTTTTTTCCATTTGATAAAATGCAAGGATACAAAACGATGTGTTTGTAGACAGAGTAACTCTTGGTTTTTATGTGTTTACGTATATATGCACACACGTATTTACTTCCTGGATCAATTTTAAATTATAATAGAATTACCCCTAAACCATGCTTAAATAGCTGGAATTCAACTCAGCAATGGCGAACAGACTTCTTTGTTGCAGAATTTTGAAATGTGTTTGTGGACAGTAACATTGGGGCATTACTTAAATATAAAAGTATTTTAAATTAAAATTTATTGATGAACAATGAAGTAGAATTAAATCTCTCTAAAAGCATGCTAAACACATCTAAGTTAGTTTAATTCATATCATATTTTTAAATGCATAACCCGTCTTTTTAGAAGCACGTTAATTTCACTCATTTATTTTTATTTTCACTGGAAAAGTCCATGTCCAGTTGATTGTGTCCACAAATTATCATATTATCTTTGTCTTCCCTATACAAATTTTAAAAAATTGCTACATACCATGCTTTTTAGAACTTATTAATGCTTAAAAAATACCTTATTTATTTTTGATGTACTCTTAAACTTAATGTACTTTGTGTCCAAATAATGTAAGTATTTAGTATATGCTAAGAGTTCCCACAGTCTGTTTCAGTTAGTTGAATGTTGCTATCAGATCTTGCATTAAATAACATCAAATATAAGAAAAGTTTACTTCACAAGCTAATTTCCCCTGAAAGTTAACACTGTTATTAATTACTGATTCTCTGATATTTTTTTAACTGCTTAGAACTTGCTGGTGTATGAACAAACAATTTCACATGAACGGAAACATTAAACCATTATACCTTTGATCAACACATGACATTTATTGAAGGGGGTGTCAACTACAGAAAGTAATGGAATATAGAAAGAAATTGTACAGATAGAATTAATAGAAAAATATAGGTTGTGATATCCTTGACTTCAACTTGAAAGCCTTTTTCATCAGCCTGCTTCCATTCCAGCAACAGTTACTTGGCTTCATCATCATTAAATGACAAAGATGAAATCTTTGCCAACACCTAGGGATGTTTTATGAGCTCTGTTCAGCTTTTATTCTCTCTCTCTCTTAATTATAGTATTTTGTTTCTTTTAATTAAAAGGTTTTGAAAATGAGTGCAGAGCTTGTTTTTTAAAGGGTTCTTACTATTTTTTTTTCTTTCACACTGGTCTTTTTTTTGATTATAAGTATATCCTGATGATCATCATTAAGAGAAAAAGGAAGTGCTTTTATTTACAGGATATACAATTTGAGCATGTTAATTAGCATAATAGAAGCACCTACTTTTCATCTGTTCTATGAATTTTGTTATCAAAATTATAGTGTAGTATATAAACTTTAAATGACCTTTCAATAGCTAAAAATACTTATGTTTATAGAAAGTTGTTCTATGAGAATATTGTCTAGTAATATAGCTAAATTCACAAGTTAAGTGACATGTATGCTTTGTGTCCTGTCTATATCCCAAATTACATATTTTAATGCATTTTATTAATAACATGTGTTGAATTCAGTTTTCATACAATCAAGACCTTTTTTGAACAGCATCAGAACTGTATATATGAAGAAGAGTAATGAGTTCCTTAACTGACTTTTGGAACTTCTTTTATTATTAACTATTGAAACTTGTACAGGTTTATGATTATTTTATCCCTTCTTGTATTTTCTAGTGATTTCTAGCCATTCCAGCAGGAAGCACAAGGCACATGATAAGGCAACTAAGGCCTTTCTGTTCATTCTGGTGATAAGTGACATCACTGGCAATTGTTCCCAGGCTGTAGTGGTGATTAGCATTCAGCACCAGGGTATCCACAAGTATCTGCACTGCGGCTGTCACGAAATAGGTTCCAACAGAATCATCTCAAACCTTTCAGTAGCCATGTAAGCACCCAACAGGAGAGTATCAGAGAACAACAGTAAATGTTTGGTTTGATATATGGCTGTGTAAGATGGCTCTCAATAGAAAATAACCATTCAGGTATGGGTTTTCTGACAAGATGGTATATTATGATAACATGAGAGAGCTTAATTAACTGGATGGATGCCAGGAAATTCAGTGCTAAGGTGTAAGATGAAGTCACAGCACACTCTGTTGTGTGGCTAAGGTAGCATATTAGGCTTAAGATCATTCAATTTTATGTAACATTTTAATCATTAGAAGATAATAAGTTAAAGATTAGAAAGGTGATTAAGCAAGCTTTAAACAATACTTCATGCTGAGTTGCTGTTGGAGTGAGATTTTTAAGCTTGGTTGGAGGACTCCCCCATAAGTCATTGCAATTAGAGAATTGTGGAGTCTGTGCTTTGAGAAGAACAGCTGATGTGAGCCTTGTGCTGTACAAGCATGTCAGTTGTGTTCCCCTGACAGAGCTTGAATAATTTCTAGACACACTTTTTAATACAAGAAGAAAATAGCTCTGCCAACAGAGGTCAGAGGAAGCTAGGCAGGAAATCTGGCTTGTATTAGATCTTCCTTTTAATGACTCACTTTGCCTCCATTCAGATGAGGTCATAACTCCTTTGTATAGCAGTTTCAGCTTTTGATTAATTGTTTTTGGAAAAATCTAGTGTTCGTGGATTTATTTTACTTTTTTTCATGATTCGCCATGAGAAGATAGTCTCTAAAAATGCCTTATCTACTGGAAGAAAAGTTTCTTTAGAACTGTCATGTTTTGTATTATACTGAGTTGCCTTGGGTGCAACAGAAAACTCTTCACTGGAAGTGTTTTTCTCTTTCGTTCTTTGTTCCAGGAAGTTATACATCTGCCAATATTATTCTTGTAAATGTCTTATTTATTTCTTCAGTGGAACTTCCTTGGACCTTTATTCACTTTAAAAATCCATACACTGCAAACTTCCTAAGGAAGAAAGAATCAAAGTGGCAATAGAATTTCCAATAACTTTCTTCCCCCCTCCTGTCTGCCTGTTGCTGAAACTAACTCAATATTTCTATACTTTTAGACTAAAACTTGTGTTGCACCCTCAAGAACTTTGTCAGCTTTGTTTATAGCCAAACACTGACAGACATATAGATACAGCAGTGAAACTGTTCTGCTGATGCCCCTGGAGCTGGCAGAATATAGCTTTACTTTTATTTACCAGGAGGAGGAAATCAATTTGACTTCTATAAAGTACACTTCAAGAGGTAATTTCAACTCTAAAGTGATAAATAATGCACTGAACGTCATATAGAACATGCTTACTTTTCCTCTGTAGAACCCAGTAAAGGTACAAGTTTTAATTATTATTTTGACGGTTGACTTTAGGTAGACTAGTATTTCTATAATTAAGCTGTTTACATATTTTTATTCATTTAAAAGATTCTTTTTTGTTTTTATCTGCCTGCTTTACTGATGTTACTCTAATTCTAGAGGGAGAAATTCATAAAGCTAAGTTTTTATTTCTCCTTTGCCTATTTGATGTATACCTGTAAAGGAACTTGTATGTCTCCTTCTCCAGTCCTCCCTTTCTCCATGAAATTGGTACCACTGTTGACCTTTGCTGCTGGCTTAAGAGAATAACAAGACCAAAACACACATTCACACTTATTAGCAAGGCAGGGGAGTGGTGGGTAGGAGTCCTTTTTCCTTGCCTTACAATTTAGATAGGCTTAAGCTTAGCAATAAAATAGGATTTGTCATAGCAAACTTTGAGTCATTAACTTACTATATAAACCTTTTATTTTTTCTTTTTTAAAAGCACTGTTTTTCCCATTTGTATTTTTTACAATTATACCTTCAATTTTCTGTTTTGCTATTGCACCTGAAACTCTTATTTTATCATTTAGTGCAATGTAATAAAAATTTTGTGGAGTGCATATAGGTTTAGATTTTGTTCATTCAGTCCTCAGGTTTGCTTTTTTTTGAGCATTTCTATCTCATCTTGTTGCTGCAATATTTGTAATAAATCATACTTTTCAACCTTTTCACATGATGGGACTGAGCCAGTGTTCTTGGAACTGCCTGTACTCAGCAGGTGCAGAGCAAGCATATGGCTATTAAAATCTTGGTATTTGGAATTTGTACTTTTGGCCTATATTATTTCTTTATTTCATGCAAAATCTATAGCTTGCAATGTGATATAATAGTACACAATAACACGAGATTGGGAGATTAATTGATACTTTAATAATTGATGCATCCAATCTCCCTCTCTGACTTCGAAGAACTGCCCTATCCCTGTTTGTTAAATTGCTTACAGAAACTTCAACTTTTCATTCCTCACAGAAAAGTAGAATCTGAAAATAAAGGCAGTCTATAAAGCATACTGACAGCTTTTAAAGAGTTGATGAACTCATATTTGACATATAACTTCTTGTGGGAGGTGGAGGAAGAAATGGGAAAGAATACTTTTTTTCAGTCTTTTGTTATCATTAGGACATCGATTTTTTTAAATATATATAATAACATGTTTCAAATGATAATTTTTTTTATCAGTACTTTAATCTTAATGCAAAATACTGGGTTTTAATGATGATCCTGGGATACTCAATAGCCCTTGTAAGTCAGTGAGGTGTTAGCTCAATTTGCCTTTTAAATTTTATTTAAGGCTTATTTAAGATATTGTGTCTTGGATATTTTAACTGTAACATTAATCTATTTTAGTTTCCCTGATTTTAATATCAGTTGTTAGGGAAGTGTTGAGAAAATTTCTTTTCTTTTGAGGTCTTTCACATATTGACTAATGCTGGATGGATCACTTGATCTTTCCAAATCTCAGTACTGTTTATTAA